TTTTAAGATATTTTTTAGAAATATATTTAAAAAGTTAGAATTAAAATAGAAGACAAAAGTTATCAAGAAAATAGAAAGTCAAACTATTTTATAGAAAGAATGCTGAAATTTGTATATTTCAAGAAACTTTCTAAGTTCTAATCTAAGTAAAAAAGGACACCTAATTGTAATTGTAATTGCCTATTTGGTGTAAAAGACTATAGAAACTAGGATAGAGACAACTTAGTTAAATAGGAACTAGAAGACTAGGTTAGGTTGTAATTAGGAATTATGATAGAGGCAACTTAGTTAAGTAGGAACTAAGTCGGTTTGGTTCGGGTCGGTTTTGGTTTTTACACAAGAAAACCGAAATCGACCCGAACCATCAGTTTATGAATTTGTACAACCCGAAACCGACTGGTACTTATGAAAACCCAGCCAACTCGGATTGGGTCGGTCCGGGTTGGTCGGTTTGGTCGGGTTGGGCCTTCTTATGAACAACCCTATTTGCGGCCAAGAAAGGACAAAGGAGCTCATGTTGGTGGAAACATGCATACCGACTCTCTCACAGCATGAAGTCCAATCTGTTATGGGTGATCAAAGATGGTTCCAATATTTCTCCTGTAGCTGATCCTTGGATCCCATCCATACCTGGCCACATTCCCCATGTCGCCACATCACTCAATACAACCTCTGAGAGTCATATCAAAGTAACAGAATTGCTAAACCATATCACAATTGGAATCGCACAAAGCTACAAGAGCTTTTTGATGCAAATACCATTGTCCACATTCAGAACATTACACCCCAGCCTAATCAAGCCAAAGATTTACTTCTATGGAAGAACAACAACTCTGGAGTCTTCACAGTTAAATCAGCATACCAGCTATATATCTATGCAGAAAGCTCAACCTCAACCACTCATTTCAACTGGAAGTTGCTATGGAAACTCAAGGTCCCCTATCGCTTCCAATTATTTCTTTGGAAATTATTATGGGACAGTTTGATCATGAAGGACAAATGTCATAAGTGGTTGAGAAGCTCAGATCAGTTATGCAGTTTCTGCAAGGAGAAAGAAGAGACAGCCTTCCACTTATTCTTCCAATGTCATTATGCAAGAGCAGTTTGGTGGAGCTCTCAAATTGGATTTGACCCAGGTTCACTTACAATCCAACCAGTTCATATCATCATTTCAGAATGGTACATTACAATGAAAAACCAGTTTGGTAAAGAACAAGCCTTTTCATGCCTAAATAAATTTAGCATGATCACCTACTTCATTTGGAAGGCGTGTAACAAGTTACTTTTTGAGAACACAAACACCGAACCATTAACGGTAGTGCAAAAAGCTCTTCAGTATGCATCACCTTGCATCGGATCTCAACCTCATCTCTCTCCTCATCTTGCACCATCATCCAACTCATTGATCTCCACCATGTTTATTGATGGCTCATTTAATCCAGCTATAGGAAGTGAAGGACGAGAATTCATCATCAAAAACACCACTCAAAGATTCCAAATTGCAGAAGGAGGCCCATGCTGGGTCATCAACAGCTATGATGCCAAAATACGAGCCCTTCTAATGGGCCTCAAAGCTGCAATATCCAACAACATCAGGCATCTGGTAGTTTTTTTTTTTTGACCTTGTAAATACAGATCGATCAACAAAATATTGGGTGGATGAGCTACACCGCTGCAGTTTTAGGCAGGCTAGATCTGATTTTTTGCTTATAAACTTTGTACATACTAATAGACAACACAACCAGACTGCCCACCTTTATGTTTACATGGCTTGCATGGGGCAGCTACGTATTAGACACGACTCTAGACGATCTTCTCATGTAATTATTTCGACAATCAGTTAATGAAGATGTCTCTCTCTGAGAGAGAGAGAGAGGGTGGATTCAACTCTTACAAAATTGTGTTCACTTTTCAACTGTAAACCGAGAACATCTTCATACTTTAATCTCTTTATTCATGGAGAGATGTTCCCAATGTACAGTTGATAAAGAATGTGAACATGGTGTGAGCACAATTTTGTGAGGGTCATATATGATTTTCATTCGAGAGAGCTGAATTGAAGACTCAGTTAAGGCGCTTCAATTGCTTTGAAGCGATCACTGAAATAAACTGAAAAGAACAGCCAAATTACATGGAATTTGGACTTTCTAATAGATTTAAATAAGGGGTTCAAACATGGTACAGGAAAAACTTGTAAGAATTAAAAATGTATCATAAAAGTAACAATCTAACAACCAATCAGGTAATATTTATCAAAATTTACGGAGGGATACTGATTGATCAAACCCTTAACTACCAATGATAACTAGTATCAAGTCTGTCGGCTCTCTTTAATCATTCTAATATACTCGTTTAAAGTTATCAAAATGGGGAGAACCATGATATGATGTGATATGATGTTTTTCGATACTTTGAACCTTTTATTTCAGTTACGCTATTGGCCCTCTTTCCAAATCAAGAGGCATGTAGTAGCCAATGCTAGATAGGGTCTCGCAGGATGCTCAAAAAAGAATTAATCCAAGCAGTATTTTCGAACCATCAGACCCAGACGGTCAAACTATTCAGCCCAAAAACCATTCAGGCAACCGATTTTGTTTCACCTAATCCGATCTATGACCAAAAATCGTTGACTTGATCAGCAATCCATTGACCCAAGCGGTTGAACTATCAACCTGATCATTATTTATTTTTTTAAGTTGGAACAAGCTGTCGATTCGAACCATACAGTCAAACCACTGACCCAAAAATCAGTAACCAAAACAGTTCCAGCTCCGGTCAGTTTTTAAAATCTTGAATACAAGTACTCGGCTTGAGCCCGTGGCTCAATTGGTTGATGTATTGACACAGTCGAGTTCAATTTCCTTTCAGAAAAGTGAAACAAAGAACCGCCATATTTGCCAGTGGTGTGAAACTGTGAATCATATTCTTATCAAACAAAAATGCATGACATCGAAGGCCGACTCATAGGTGGTTCAAAATCTTGACCTTTATTCAACCTCGTAAACTTCAACCCCAAATATGAAGAATGAAGAATGAACAAAACTAACATGATAAAATTTAAATTTAGTGTGTAGGAATATTGTTTTTTCTTTTCTTTTTCCACATCATCAACCTCAGTAAATGCCCCACTAAATTTTGGTAATTATTAATCAATACCGGCACCCAGTTAGAGACCAGGGGCTTCTTTCTTTTCCTGTTGTCAAAGAAATGACGCTTGCCTCTTCCAACGAATGGGGAAGGGGGGGAAATCATTTTTTTTTTCTATTACAAGGAATGGGATCGGCTCACAATATACATGACCTAATTGCACCATGGAGAAGAAACAGAAGGGGGGAAAAACTTTTCTTTCATCATCACTCCTCCTTGACTCCTTATCAGAGAAGCTTGCTGGTTCGACGCTTTGATGGCCCTCCTGGAAGGAGTTTCATTATCCAGCCCAAGACTCTCTCTACCACCTGATTAGCAAAAACAATAAACAAGTGATCAATATGGGAGTCACTTCTCTACATGATGCGTGGAGAGTGGAGACAACTATAAAAGCATGGCCAAAAGCTTTAGGTAAGGGATGCAATTCAATAACATAGTATTCAAGATTCCAAGCCACATGTTATACCAAGTAACCAACAAAAAAGGATAAAAATAAGTGGAGCTGATAGGGTGATCTCCATAAATTTAAGAACCACAGGTTGACATCAATCACTACCATGGGATCTCAGGCTAGAAAGAGGAATTACCAAAACCTCAGGAATAGAAAAACCATCATGCTATAGATCTCTGATGCACCAATGAATCCTATTCTGACAAATCTAGACACTCCAAGAAAAGAATGCCTACAAGAGGCACCCTTTAATCAAAAGGAAAGCATGATCCTGTATGTTGTAAGCATTGAAGTAGTTCGACCAGCTTTGCAAGCACTCCTAGTATTTATCTGCACATACAGACAGTACTGGAGACTAGGAACTGGTTGAATAGATCCAAATTCATGAATCAAATCCTAAGGTGGCGTTTTTAACACTTTTCAGATGTCTCAAGTCTGAAAGCTTTGCTTTTCAGATGCCCGTGGCATTTGGGTTTAGGTCTGATTAGAGAATCTGAAACACAAATTCAGATCTGAACCAATATCAGACGCATTTCAGACGTGATAAAATGACATTAATGCCCTCATTATTGTCATCTATTTAATAACAATAACAACAATAATAACGATAATGATAATAATAATAATAATAATAACAACAATGACCGTATATTTATAATGATAATAATAATTATTATTATAATATGATAATTATAAAATAATAATAATAATTATTATTATCATTACCATTATTAGTATTATTTATTTTATTAATAATAAAAAAATATTTAATATTATTTACTAATAATAATTTTATAAATATTTATTATTAATAATAAATATTATTTCTCTATTTAAAAAATATTATTAGTAATAATATTTATTTAATAATAGTAGTAGTAGTAATAATAATAATAATAATAATAATATTCAATATAATAGTAACACTAATAATAAATATTAGTATTACTATTATCATTTAAATTTAAATATATAATAATATTTAGTATTAATACTTATATCAGTGTTTTAAAAGCGCAAAGAGCAAAAAAGGCGCATGGGTCAATTTGCGCCTGAGGCGCGTGCCTTTTTGAAGCAAGGCGCAAAAATACAAAAAAAAATGCTAAAAAATAAAAAAAAAGTCAGAAAATTCAAAAAAAAAGCCAAAAATTCAAAAAATAAGTAAAAAAATATTAAACATAATATTAATAAAAAATATAAACTCAAATTTTAAAATAATGTTTTAAAAAATCAATTATCTAAAATTAAAATACATAAGCATAAGATGCGAAGCATATTCAAATGAGAATTTAAAAATAAAATCAAACATATAAAACATTTTCAAGCATGTAAAACTTCTAATCTCTTTTCTTCACTCAATTGCATTACTTCAATTAGCTAATGTAATGTAAAACATAATGCATTCCTGATTCTTAAATTCTTATTCTTCACACAAAAAACAATGATTTTAAAGCATCAAATTTCAAAAGCGTCAAATTACAAAAAACAATGATTCTACGAACCGCCTTTGTGCCCAGCCGCTATGTTCAAAAGAGGCAAAAAAGCGTCAAATTTTCAAAAGGTGCACGCCTGGGCTGAGGTGCAAGGCGCATCAGGCGCACGCCTTTTGAAAGGGCTGCGCCTAGGACCTAGGCAAGGCACATAATCTGAAATGCGCCTCGCCTGTGCGCCTAGGCATGCCTTTTAAATCACTGACTTATATAGTAATAGGAATATTTCATAATATATTTATTAGGAATAATTAAAATATTTTTATAATAAATAAATATTATTTTTAATTAAATAATAAATAATTATTTTTTTCAAAAAAATATAATATTTGTTCATTAATAGAATACTATTTTTATTTAATATTGTTTTTGTTATTTATAATATTATCAAGTAGTCTATTTCTAAGGGTAAACTAGTAAACTTCACAATTTTAGATGTTGGAGAATTGCTCCAACTAAAATGATCTTATCTTTTTAGAACCTCTAAAAAGCAGAAAATCATTTATACTTCTTTTCAGATTTCAGATCCAAATAATATCTTGGGGTTTTTACGATCCACTCCACCTCAGAATTCAAAACTTCATCGTACAATTTGGGTCAGTGTCAAGGGGGGAAAATGCCAAATTCACCAGGGGGATGGTGTTTATAGGTGGTGTTGATCGTAAATACATCAGGGAAAATAGTTTCCCTATTCTGAGGTGGACTGAGCCATAAAAATCCCTAATATCTTTTTAACTTTTCAGATTTCAGATTTAGCAAACGCCACCTAAGATTCAAAAAGTAATCATATGATTCAGATGTAAGATTAAGATCAAAACCCATGGGTTTTATTGTTCAATGTGTATCATATAAAAAATCATAAAGTTTTAACAGCTATGCCCACATATGTCTCAATCAGAACATAACTACCAAGTAACCATAGAAAGACATGGTAACATGATCCATTTTGTTTGTTGACACACTCTCTCTATGATATACTGCATGGACTATCTATATATGGCAAGTATGTAATAATCATAAATGATCATGGTACCTCATCCCCTTCATCTGTGTAAAGTGGCATGCTATCGGGCATCGCACGAGGGTCTGTTTGCCTTGATGGGATATTTTCATTGGCCATATTCTGGGCAGTCAAAAGCTCTAATCTCTGAGTCTGAACCTCCAGCTTTTGTGACAATTCCTTATTCAAGCCCTTCATGAAAATGAAGAAAATAAACAAAAATGTAAAGAGGTAAAAATAACATCTTCAAATATAAAATTAATCGATAACCACTACTATCTTGAGCACAGGTGCAGACATGCAGTGCTTAAAACTACATGCTGAACCAGAGACCAGATCTGCTCCTCACACAGGGCGCCTCACACGCACATCGTACCATGCATTGAGAACACCTCTCGTATTTATAAGTTATTATTCACAGGAGATGTTCCTAATGCACGGACAATGTGCATGTGAGGCGCCCCCGCGTGAGGAGCATATCCCGGTTCACTGAACTACCCCATAATTGAACCACAGTTGATTTGTACCCCATATAGGATCTAACCATTTATGTAACATGTAAATTCTCAATAAAACAAGAAAAACTTTTTTCTAGGCTCAAAACTTCAGAGGTAAAATAGTGTTGTGATTTTTTACTGTGAAGTTAAATGAAGCCAAGCAAAAGCTCATCTCTCAAACCCATCGGAAGCAAGGGGCAACTATAAGAGGAAAAATATCAAAACACAAGATTTGATAAAACATGAGAGCTTGCATTTGATAAAACATGCTCATGTGCACATGCATTTGCATACATGCTATTACTTTGTTTTAAAGCATCTATTCAGTTTGCATTTCTAAATTCTGATATAAATAATTGCTACTTTACTTCAAAGAAAAATGTCACGAGAAAAATGACAAATCCTCCTGGTAAGCACCTGAACTATGCCATGTTTTAATTTTTACTTTTGTTGATGGAAATAGGGTTGTAAATTTTGTCAGTTACAGTGTTGATATAATAGCACTCAATCACCAAATTGTAGAAAAATTGTTTCATAAGTAGAAGGGATGTATCTTTTTTTTGTCAATGACAAAAAGCTTCATTGAATTTCAATTAAGAAAAGATTACATACAAACAGAGGGAGGTAAAATGTCTTAACTCCCCCACAAGCAGAGAAAAGAAAATAACAGTATTAGAAGTAAGGCCAAAACAAAGAATCCCTATTCAGCCCTTGTTTAGTTAGCCCATCAGTAAAGGAATTTGCAGTTCTCTACCCAGCTGTATTTTATCTCAATATCCTTTTCCCAACCATTTAAACTTTTTCCTTTCATTGCTGTAATTCCACATTCCAAGCTTATCTTCCTTTAATCATCTTATCACCACCTCTGAATCACCTTCAATAATGAGCCTCCTAATATTCAAGGCTCTTGCTCTTTGGATTCCTTCCATGGCCACTGATACCTCAGCCCTAAGAGAGTCAACCTCTCCAATTGGGCCAGAGAACAGAGCTAAAGCATTCCCTTCCTCATTTCTGAAAACTCCCCCCGACTGTCCTGGATTCCCAATGCTACTGCCAACAAAATTCAGTTTTATGTAACCAAGTAGAAGGGATGTACTGTGTTAATATGCGTAAGAAAGGGGTGAAGCCCTATTTATCAAAAAGTTACATGGCCTTGTACCATGATGCATTAAATGAGTTTACAAAGACTAACTCAAAGAAACAATTGGATACTTGCCTCTTAGGTGGCTATGGTGGTCATGGATAAATATGGAGCAGCACTTATTGGCTTTTTTTTTTCTGACAAGGAGAAGCACATATTCGTTCATCCTCCCATCCTACTCATTCTACAAATGAAATGGATTATGAAAGCTTATGATGAATATATTCCCTTCACAGAATTCAAAGGTAGGCATGGTCTTCATGCAGCTTTCAGAAGATGGTTGGTATGGAGTTGGGAAGCTTAGTTCCCTTTGCCCTATGCTGTATTGATTCTCTAAGACGAAATGACCAATTTATATTCTCTCCATGGTGAGTCCATGGCTTGGAATCCCATCTTTCATATACCACACTTCAGTTGGGAGTTGAATGAATGGCTGTTTCTATTTCAAAGATGGACATCACCCTTATTCTGCTGGACCAAAGAAGATCAGCTGGGAAAAAAGATCACAAAGAAAAAGTTATTGGTGATGTCTTTCCATGTGGCGCTTCTAGAGGTTTCATGTAGTCAACTGTACCTAGATGTGACTGGTGTGTGTTCCACTCCACCTAAGATAAAAACTTTTATGTGGCTCATCCACCTTGATAAAATAATTACCATTATAGGAACCACAGGCATCTCTAAATACTAAATAAATGTTGTATGTGCAAGGTTATCAATGGTTTGATGGATGACTTGTTTCTTTGTTGCCCCATGACCTATCTGTTTTTGGAATATTTCCGACCTCTCCACTCCTCTCCTAATCGAAAGATGTTATTGGCCTTTTGGCCTTCCCTGTTATTGGGCTAGACAGGTGGTTTGATTTGGGCTACAGCTCCCTGTATCATTTATTAGAGAATTTGGAAGGGAAAAACTGCAAAGTTTTTGAAGGAAAAGATCTGTTGCCTCATTTCATGTCAATGCAAGTAGTTTCATAATAGAGTGGTCTTTAGTTCTCACAGAATTTGGTGATCCCCATATAATAGATTTTGTACTTAACTAGATAATATATTGGGCACATGTAAAGCAGTATTTGTCTTTGTAGTTTTTCTGTATCTTTATACGTAATAAATTTTCATTACTCATCAGCAGAACAGAAATTTTCATTAAAATAAGACTACCTTGAGCTGTGAGCAATGAGATGATTCAGCTGCCAAAGCTTGCATCAACTCGTCTTTCTCCAGTGCCAACTGCAATCATGCAACTTATTCTCATCAATGTAGAGAAGAAATAATTAATCTACTAAATGCAATTCAGAGATCAAGTTTATAAAACTTCTGTTTAAAGAGAGAATTTTCTCTTATAGAAATTCAACTAAATAATGGAAGAAACTAAAGCAGAAAATCAATAAAAATGCTAGAAAAGAGACTACCTCAGAAAGTAATGAATTAATGTTTTCAATCATTCTCATTTGATCAGGTGGAATAGACAAAGGAGAAACTGGAGGGAGAATTTGACTATTCCCAGGAAGTGATGGGGAGGCAAACATTCTACTGGGGGAAAAAGCAATATCTTCCATTTCATTGTTGAACGTGCTTGGTGTTGTTTCTGTATCACCATTCTCCCCAAGAACTGTAGTGAAAAATTAAATGCCAGAAAAAGAAAAGAAACTATAATGAGAAACTGAGTTTCAAGAAACCTCACAAGGAAAAATTATAAATAGTTCCTAAAAGTATCACATAGTGCATTGCAAGATACATAAAGACATGAGGATAATACATTGACGAAAAGAAGGATTTCTCATTTGAAAACCAATCACTAATAGGGAATTCTAATGACTATTGAGGAGGTAAGGCTTGCAATATATAGAAATAAAGTTTCAATTCTTGTAAATTTTTTGAAAGTAAAATATTGTATTATATTATGAGTGAAAACAAAAAACTCATGTACAACAAGATGCTGTATTCAGGGGCTATACAAAAGCTGCCCCCGCAGCACTGTACCTCCACGCCCTGCTTTACAAAAAGATTTGCATGTACAGAAAAGAAATTATAGCCTATACTTGAAACAGCTTATGTAATGAAAACATCTTTCCCAAAATCTTCTAAAAATTTGCATCGACAGACCCTGGGTAGGAACTAGCCATTGAAAACCTTGCATTCCTCTCCTGCCATAAGCACCAAAAAAACCGCAGCAAGAACTATATTCCAGGCCAATTTTCCTTTTTTGCCCAGCCCTTCAACCATCCAACCCTTTACAAACTCCACCACTGACCCTGGGCAGTAACTCTTTAACTCAAATAGGTTCCATATTTTAGATCGTACTTCATAGGAAATCTGCAATGTAGCAATAGATGGTTCATTGATTCCCAGTGCCCTTCACATAATACAGCCTTCTGAATCAAAACATCATACCCTTCTGTAGAAGGTTGTCCCTAGTAAGTATTCTGTGTAACTAGGTAGTCCAAACAAAAAATGCTAGCTTTCTAGGAACATTCTTACACCAAATAATATTGACAGGGACTGACTGCTCTTCTGAACAAACAAGGCACTGTAAAAAGAATTCACTGAGACTTTTCCTGACTTCTCTCACTGCCAAAATCTATCTGAGCTTCCAATCTCCACTTATGTGCTGTATAATACATGCAGCATTTCCACCATAGCATCCAGCTCCAAATCATTCAAGTTTCTTCTAAATTGCAGGGCCAACACCACACCAAGGTTTAAAATGTTGGTGTCGATGGAATTGTCAGTCATCCAAATATAGGAAACATGTCGAAATGTTGGAAATACCGTAGGGAAATATTCAAAAAATTATAGACATGGTGGAAACATTCTAAAATTTGCAAAAATATAGAATGATGCTTTATGAAATGATAAAAGAAGCATAGGCACGCCTTTTTAAATTATCTTGTTCCAAATCATCAAACAAAGCTAAGAAACTAAGGTTATGGACAAAATAATACATTGTTAAGTTGTCCTACAAACCTTAAGATTCAAAACTACATAACAAAATCAGTTCAAGCAAAATTTGAACTCATAGAAAATGCAAATGATTCTAAGAGATCAACCAAATAATCTATTAGATAAACAAAAACAAATATTTAATTTCATTTTTGAAATGAATATCAATTGGCTCAAAATGGTAATCGTGTACATAAGGCGAGCAATAACATTGGTACTCCACATATCTACAATGTTTTCACCAGCTTACGTTATAATACTATCTATTGTACTCCACATAGTATTGGTAGTGTTCACTAGGGAATATGTCGATTCCAGTAAAATTTCATGTCACTACCCATGGAAATGGAAATATATTGTGGAAATATTAGGAAATTTTGGATGAGTGGAAAAACTAGAAAAGATAGAATTAGGAATGAAGTTATCCGAGGAACCTACGAGTAGCTCCAATAGGTGATAAAATGAGAAGAGTAGACTAAGATGGTTTGGGCATGTGCATAGAAGACCACCAACTGCGCTAGTTATAAGAAGTGATTTGTTACATATTGAATGTTCAATGTCCAAACCTCTAGTTTCTTTGTCAACAGCCAGATCACAAAATAAAAATAAAAATAAAGAGGAAATGCTTCCAATAGAGGACTATCTCCACAACATACATCCTTCCAAAACTTCATGTGTGCTTCATCCCCAATCTTAAACCTCACATCTTTTAGAATGACTCATATGCTTTTTAGATTCCTTTCCAAACTGAGCATCCACAAGACTGATTGAGGCTCTCGGGTACCATCCAAAGTTTCTATCTCCATATTCACATTCTTTATTCTCTTTACACCCAAGCCTCCTTGAAATTTTCGTTTGCAAACCATGTTCCAATTGACTAAATGATATTCTTCTCCTCTTTCCACCTTCCCTATAGAAAACCCCTCATTTTCTTTTCAATGAAGGCTGTCATCCGATCAGGGAATGGATACATTGAGAGTATACATAGGAAGAGAAGACACACTTTTTGCCAATGTCACCTTGCCTCCACAAGTGAAGTATTTGGCTTTCCAAAAGGCCAACTTTGTATCAATTCTTTCCACTATTGTTTCCCAAATTGATTTTGAATTGCACCTTTCACCCAAAACATGTCCAATAAGTGTAATTTTCCCACTTTACAATTCCACATCTTCCCATTGAGCCAACTATTGGACCTCCCCCACAGCCAACAATTCACTTTTATGTGAACTCACATGCAAACCAGACACTACTTCGAACCATCTATGTATTGCCATGACATATTGAAGTTGCTCTTGAGAAACATCACAAATAAGAAGTGTATCATCTGCGTACTAGCAATGCTACTTCCACCCTCTCATTTCCCACTGAAAAGCCTTCAAGAAAACCCCCTGAAACAGCCCCTTTCACCATTCTTCTAAGAGCTTCCACAACTCATATGAATAGGAAAGGGGAAAATGGGTCTCATTGTCCTATTCCTTTCGCACTTTTGGATCCATTTACCAAAATGGAGAACAGGGAGAGGTGACACATACCTTCATCCAAATCCTCCATTTAGAGCCAAAATTCATCCTCTTCAGAACAAAATCGAAGAAATTCCCGTTTAAATGATCATATAGATCTTCTCCAAATCCACTTTACATATTAAACCTGGCCTTCCGCTCTTTAATCTAGAGTTGATTACCTCATTTGCTACTACACCCCATCCACCATTAGCCCTCCTTCCAGAAAAGCACCTTAACTCTCCAAAATAATACCACCCAGTACATCTTTCAGCCTTCTTGCTAACACCAAGATGATGATTTTATATATGCTACCAGTAAGGATGATTGACCTATAACCTTTTAGTTCTATAGCTCCCTTTTTTCTTAGGGATGAGAGTGATGAAGTATGAATTAAGGCTTCTCTCCAAGGCTTCCGAACAGTGAAATCCTTCCAAAGCCTTCATAATTTCCTCCTTAAGAAACTCCTAAATTGGGAAATGCATAAAAAGTGTCCAAGCAACACATGCCTTGACTGTATTGCTCACTTGTCCAAGAAAGCAATAAAAAAGTAGTTAACTTTTTGTTCTGTATCATTGGCACAAAAAAATGTAGCTTCATTTCAAGAAGGATTCAATATACTTCTTTTAGACATGGATGCAAATGGACCTGGATTACCCTAAAATGTGGACTGATCAAGTTCAACTATGATGGCTTTGCTCCAGGAAATCCAGGACTTTTTAGTGTTTGACTGTTCATAGATCTAGAAGTCACAAGTGCATCCTTTTAATAAGTCTCTTTGGTTCTATTGGGGAAGGAAATTCCCTTACGGCAGAACTAGTTGTTCTCTTGCAAAGCTTTAAGTTGGATACCTCTTAAGTTTGAAGAGCCAATAAGGCACCTTGGTGGAGTGCCTTGCCTGAATCCATGACTTATACCAACCAATGTTTTAAAAGGCATGGCAGGCCGCAGGTGTATGTCTGGAGGCATGCCTCCAAGCAAGGCACCACCAAAACACCTAAAGGCACATGAAGGAGACATTGATACCTCTAAGGTGCATTCCTCAAATGCCTTTTGCGTGAGGTATGCTAGAGGTATATGCCTCATCCTCATGCGCCTCATACAAAAGGAAAAAAAGAAAGAGATGTAAAAAAGAGAAAATAAGAAAAGGGAAGGGAAGGAAAGGGAAGGAAAGAGAAAAGAAGGGAAACTCATTTTGCACACTTGGAAGGGCTTATGCCTCTTGTGTTCTGAACTACACCTCATGCCTCCAGCTCCAGGTAGTGGAACACCTCATACCACACCTTCGTGTTTTAAAACATTGATGCCAACAAGATGCTTGTCTGGGCCTAGGCACCTACCTAGGTGACAAAACTTACAAGGCAGGCACCATCTTGTAATATTATTAACATGTCTGCATCTTATTAGAATGGGTGTTGCATCCTACCACCCAGCATGTAACAATTAAGTTATATTCGTCATGGTTATATACCTATAAAATTAAATTAGAGCAACCTGTTTAGTTTTGAGCACTGAACAGAGTTGAATGGCTGAACGGGATTCATGTTGGTTGTCTATGTTGATTGCTAAGCAGATTTTGTTGAATGAGGGGGTGGATAAAAAACAACTCCAAGAGAGAGTGTTGAGGGTCTCTTCTTTGAATGATCCTGTTTCTGGAAGTGAGGGATCAGCTGAGGCTGAGGGTGAGGAAGGGGATGCAGGACAAGAGAAGATAGGGCAGCATTTGAGGAGTAAGCAAAGGATTTGGAAGAAGTGCAGATGGGTGAAGTAGACAGATTGGGTAAGCTTTTGCCAATTGATAAAGTTGTGCACTGTGAAGTAGCCAAAATCAAATCTCCAGGTTTATTATTTTTTGTAGTGATACCTTCACAGAGGCTACTTTTAGAAGGGTGAAAGAAGAAGTTAGTTTGTAGGACAAGGTGATAATATCGGGGTTTATTATTTTTGGTGGCAAAGCCTTCACAGAGGCTAATTTTAGAAGGGCGAAAGAAGCAGTTAGTTTGTAGAAGGTGATAACCTCTCAAATTACTTGAGCAGAAGAGATCTCAACAGATCTAAATGAGAAGATGAGCAACTTTCTATGCTGGGACATGGTGGAACCAAGTGTTGTTCAAGGAATGACCTGCAGAAAGATGGAGAGATTTCTAAATTTAAGGAATCATATAAGGTC